CTTCCCAGGTAGCGGAGTGGAGGGCGCGGGCGAGAAGGGCCGAGCAGCGGAGCGCCGGGGGCGGGGTCGCAGCAGCTCTGAGGTTAGGGACCAGACTAGGGGATCCTGGGGCGGGGCAGGAAGATTTATGGGTATTGGTATTTTTAGTTTGAGGGTGTGGCTAAAGGGTTTGGGCGGGACCTCCTGGAGACTCGAAATCTAGGCCCTCAGGCAGGTGCCCAGCTAGACAGACGGCTGCGGGCGGAGGACCTGGCTTGCGGTCTCTGCTCCCGGGGCCGGGTCTAGAATGTTCTGAGACGAGGCCGTGGTGAGAGGTGGGACTAGGCTTTCCTGGAGGTAAAGTGGCGTTGTTGCCCAAGGTGACGTTGAACTCTAGTTGGCGCTGACCACGGTTCGAGACTGGGAGCGGAACCGAGAAGTTTTTTTTTGTCACTGGGTGTGTGTTGGAGCGGGGGAAAGCTTGGATTTGAGTTTTTTGAGGGACAGAAAGTGTTTGGATTTGGGGGAATGAGGCTGGGGAGGGTTCTGATTTGGGGAGCGAAGCTAAAGTAACCTGGCGCGGGACTGGTCCCAGAATTCCCATTCTGGGGCGAGGTGTGAAGGCCTGGTCCGGCTCGGCTGCAGAGTCCAAAGAAGCGGAATTCTGAGCTGCGAAACGGAGTATGAAACTCTCTTGCTCATCCATCCTCCCCAAATTTCTTTAGGCTTTAATCCCCTGGACCAGGAACCCCGAGCTGGCCGGCCGGCCTTTCGCAATCTCTGACCTGGGCGTCCTGGACCGCCATCAGCCCTATCTGACCACCTCGGCCCGGGACTTCCGGTTCTACTCGAAGTGAGCCGGCCCTCGTCCGCACTGCTCTCGGGCTCAGTTCCCGCTTAGGCCGATGCGGAGGGGACCGGGCGCCCCCTGGTGTGGTTCCCCTTCTGACAGTAGTTGCCACTTTCCTGCACTCATAAGAACCGACGTCAGACCCCAGCCCTCTTTTAGCACCCAGGGGCAACCCTCAGGAACCTGCGACCGGGACAGGGAGCCTGCCGAGCGCGAGGGGAGTTCTGGATCTGGGGGTGAGGCCCTGAGCCTCTTGGGCGGGGCATCCTTCGGCACTGAAGCCCCTAGATACTCCTGCCCAAGGATGTGGAAATGTATTTCCAGCCCCTTTAGCTCAAGGACGCAGGAATCCAGGCGTCCCCCGGTCCCGTCTTTCCTAAGCGGTCCCCAGCGCCAGCAAATGTGCCCTCGTCTCAAAAAGCAGGATCTCGAGTCTACAATCTTCTCAAGATCGGGGGCCTGAACCTCAGCCTCGTCTCGAGAAAATTTAGTTGTGCCCTCCCCATCCTGCCTCCGTCCCATAGGAAGGAGCTGTCCGGATACCCCCGCAAAGATTTGCTGACCTACTGGAGCTTCCAGGAGACGCCCCAGCTTAGGGGCTACAGCCCGAAGCAGTCGTGCTCCTCTCGGTTGCCTCGACCGCCGCAAGTCCGCTTGCCCCGAACCCACCCAGTGACGCTGGCCGTACCGCACCGCGGGGCCCTGTCTCTGGCTCAGGAGTCCTACACCAACCCGCTGCACCCACTCCGCCGGTTCGACCGATTTTGCCCGCTAGAGGCGCCCTGGGGCGGCCCGCACAAGAAGCCCCTACCGGGTATCTATAGCGTGCCCAAAGCCTATCGCACCGAGAACTCCCGCTACGGCAGCTCGAAGCCGGAGCTTGTCTGAGCAGCCGGGCCCCGCCCCACCCCGCCAGGACACGCCCCCTGGACCGTGGGGCGGGGCGGAGCCAGGAACACTGCGACCAGACAGTGGGAGGAGCAGGGCTCGGGAGCCCCGCCCACTCACGGGCCATACCCCTTAGGTCTATGGTGTCGCCCGGAGGAACCAAGACACGCCTACTCATTTGCCTTGGGGGGGAGGGTGGCGGTACTGAGACCAGAAAATGGACCTTGAGGCTGGTGGCCCAGCGGGAGGGGACATGCCCCCTGCGGGAGATGGGGAAGGGGCTTACCTTTGGTCAGAAGTTAAATAGCCTAAATCATGTCCATTTTGGGGGACAGCTCTGATGGGCTTCATGGTTTCTTGGGGGTGGGGTGTGGGGGAGGTGGGAATCTAGCGAAATCCCTTGCTGGGAGACATCTGGTTGCAAGCAGCCAGCACAGTGGTGGTGGTCGGGGGTCCTTCGCGGGTTGGGCAGAATCTGTTACAGTAGCAGACTCACAGCCCTCCGATATGGCGGAATCGCTTTCAGTCCGTCTCGGGTGGAGTTGGGTTGAGGTTTTGGCGCGGCAACTCTCCGCAGCGCAGAGGCGGCCTACTGCCCCCACTTGGCTCACACGCTTCTGCGCCTCCACCAGGGGCTGGTCTAGTGCCTGAAGACAGTCTATGCTGCATCGTGGGCGCCTCATCCTTGGCGCTGAGGGCATTGGGACGCAGCACTGTGCGAGCCTGACCTTGCCCTGCACCTCCCTGATCTTGCCGCCTCCCACCCCAGGGTGGATTAGTGTCCAGGTTACCCCTGCATGCCGCCACCGCCTGGTGGCCTTGCCGCCCCCACAACTCACAGGTATAAAGCCAGGTAGGTAGGTAGGGAAGACACGGAGGATGGAGAAGCTCCAGGTAAGATCTAGGGCCCCGGGGCACTTTCCAGTTCCATCCAGGCCACAACTGGCATAAAGAGTGACAGAGCCCTGTGACCTGGTGACAGAGGTAGCAGCTTCCCGCAGGGAGGGGAGCTGGTGGGGCAGTAGTGAGGGTGGGTCTCTGACATGGGACCCCTGGGGTCCCTTACGCTGGCCCTGCATGCAGGTGGCAGGGATGGTGCATGAAGCAGGGCCTGGATGCCTGGGCGTGCCCTTGGTGGGCAGAGGTCTCAGACCAGCCTGAGGCACTGCCTTGTCCCAGGGGCTGCTGCTGTGGCTGCTGCTGAGCGGGGGTGGGGCATGGGCATCCAGTGGGCCACTGCGGCCACTGTGCCAGCCCACCAATGCCACACTGACTGCGGAGAACGAGGCCTGCCCTGTGTGCATCACCTTCACCACCAGCATCTGTGCCGGCTACTGCCCCAGCATGGTGAGCCGTGGGGCAGCACTCCTGCCCTGAGGACAGTGCTGCCACCGTGTGCCAAGGTGGAAGGGCCAGACCTGTGGAAAACGGGAGGTGGCGGTGGGGTGGAAGGGTGACCTGGACCCTCGGGTAGGGGTTGGGTGTGTGGGTGGGAAGGTGAGGTCCCTGGACACCCGATGTGGGGTCTGTGGGGGCATTGGCTCAGGCAGGTCTGTTCCCTGTGTGCCCCAGGTACGAGTGCTGCCAGCTGTCCTGCCGCCTGTGCCCCAGCCAGTGTGCACCTACCGGGAGCTGCGCTTCGCTTCCATCCGCCTCCCTGGCTGCCCGCCTGGCGTGGACCCCATGGTCTCCTTCCCTGTAGCCCTTAGCTGCCACTGTGGGCCCTGCCGCCTCAGCAGCTCTGACTGTGGGGGTCCCAGAGCACAGGGCTTGGCCTGTGACCGCCCACACCTCCCAGGCTTCTTCTTCCTCTGAGGTCCCCCCAGCCTCCTACACCCACCCCCAGTTCTGAACCCAGCAGATGCGCCATCCTCCTCTAATAAAGGTCTCTCGATCTGCACTCCGGGCTGCTTCTGTGGGCTCAGGGTGAACACGCATACATGCACATGCCAGGTCCAGCGTTGAAGCCATTTTATATAAAGTCACAGTGTCAGAACTCTGGTAGAAAGTGGGGTGTGGGGAGGGGGCTCCAGCTCAGGAGGTGTCCATGGTCTCACCTTCTGTGGGGAGAAAGGCGGCCACATGACCAGTTTGGCCTGGAGGGTGGGGCCCAGCTCTCTGAGGCCACCCTCCCTGACTTCCCCACCGAGGGAGACCCTTGGACACGCAAGGCGAGGGGCAGGGCTGCTCACTGAGCTCATTGAAGAGGAAGGCATCCTGGTATTCCTTCATGTACTGCGTGGAGCGCGACTCATCCAGGAAGAGGGAATAGACCCGCTTGATGTCATCCACCTGCACCTCCGTGCCCTGGGGGCGGGGGGAGTGCTCAGCTGGACTCTAGCAAGGGCCACTGCACACAGGTCCCAGCGTGCCACCTTCCACTCCAGGTGGCAGAGGGTGGCAGGTAGGAGTAAGGGTTTTGAGCCAGATGACCTGGCTTCAGATCCTACTTGGTGACCTCCTGGCTGTGGGCCCTAACCTTTCCGTCCCTCACCTCTAAATGGATTTATAGCATCTGTTTGCAGGCAACCAGTTATTACTGAGCACCTGCTAACAGCCAGGCCAGGAGGCAGAGCATGGAGGAGGATCGAAAGTGCCTATTCGAGGGGCCGGCAGGTGGTGTGGTGGTTGGGATGCTGGACTCCCACATGACTGATATGGTTCAAGTCCTGAACTTGGCAGCCTGCTTTCTCATGAGTGCACATGCCCTGTGGCATTTAAAAAACAATAATAATAAAAAATAAAATTAAGTAAAAATTATTAACAAAAAGAAGAGAGAAAATGCCTATTCTAGGATGAAATACAACAGCTCTCGGGGTGGGGATCACTCCCTCTGTATCTGACCCTCTTCTGCAGAGGCTGACCTTGCGTTTCCGGCACACCAGGCTGGCAGCCGTGATGAGCTGGATGGCATAGCGCAGGGAGGTCTCCAGGCCGATGCGGGTCAGCACGGTGTAGGCGTCCTCGCTCATCTCCACGTCCTCCTCCTCACACCTACAGGGACAGGCAGGAGAGGGTTCAGCCAGAGTCACGCCTCCGACTGCAGCAGCAGAAGTGGCCAGGCAAGCTCCTGGCTGCCCCAGCCTGGGAACTGTGGTGTCTGCATTCCAGCGCCAGAGAATGCTGGGACAGAAGCACCACTGAGGCCTGGACAGGGCTGGTCCTAAAACCTGGGCCTCCTGGGCCCACGCACAGCTCTTTCCCCATCAGTCACTGGTCCCCCCCCAAACAGTGGCCCCACCCCGGGGCAGAGGCCACTGCCTGGTCAGTCTGCCCAGGGCTCGGTGTCCCATCTGTCCGACAGACCGGACACCAGGTGGCCCGAAGCACGCAGTCTGGTCCTGCCCGCACCGGATGCGGAGGATCTGCTTCGTGTCCTTCTCGCTGTAGGGGGAAGTGGAGACGATGAGCATCCGGTCCAGCAGGTCGATGGGGATGCCGTGGGGGCTCTGGTAGCTGGTGCCCCGGATCCTGGGGGAGGAAGGGTTGTCAGAGTGATGCTCCCCAACCCGACTGTGTTCCCCCTATTTGGAGACACTTCCCCATCACAACCCACTTGCTGGGCCAAATGCCACTTAACCTTCAGCTCCCAGCTCATGTCACCTCCTGACGCACAGCCCTCCACAGTTGCGTCAGTCCCCAAGGGTGCCGTTCTGCGAAGCTGGGGCTGGTTTCAGCCAGAAATCTATGCCAGGATTATTGGCTCAAGGTCCCACGCCCCTGCTCGACAGCTCCAGGGAGAAGGGACACACCCATCTTGCTGCCCGTGCACCAGGACCTGGGCTCGGCAGGCTCCGGGGCAGCCACTCCTCCTGCTACAGCAGTGATATCCTATGAAGTCACTGTGACACCCGACTAGCAGATGCTGACCCACTGTGCCTGGAGCCCACCTGGGACAGGCCCTGTAAGCATCCGGGCACAGTAACTGTGTCCATCAGCAGGCGCCCCTCCACGCACCACAGGGCTGTGTCCCCCAAACCCGCTGTGAGCTGAGAGTGCATTTCACACACCTTGCCTACCAAGCCTCACAGCTCAGCCTCGCTCAACTTAGACATGCCCGCGACACGCGCCCTGGCCTACAGCGGGATCGTCTCTCACAAAGCCTATGTCACAGTGACGTGTTGCATGTCCCATGTCATTTACCGAACGCTGCACTGAAGGCGGAATACTGAGCAAGCAGCGTCTGCTGAACGCTTCACTCTCAAACCACTGCGCAGCCCAAACCCTAAACTGTGTCCTCTGCCAAGGGGCCACCTTTACACATCATTTTAGGTGGTTCTGTGTGGTGCTTTGTTTTTAATTTTTGCCAGTGGGCACATGAGTATGTCAGATACTGGTGTGTGTGTGTGAGACAGAGAGAGAAAGCATCCTCTGTGGGATATGGTCACGGCGCAATCCCTTCTCCATTTCTCCCTCTGGGGATTTTGGGCACACATGCAGGTGGTGGTTTTTTTATTTTCTTTCTTTCTTAATTTTTTTTAAAAAAATTATTTATTTATTTATTTCCATTTGTTGTTATTATTTTTAAAATTTGACCATACAGAGAGACAGAGAGAGAGAAAGGGAAAGCAAGAAAGCAAGTTGCCAGGTTCAGGACCTGAACCGCGGTCGACCATGTGGGAATCCGGTGCCCTTAGCCACCATACCACCTGCCAGTCCCCACATGGTAGTTTTTCAAGCTGCTAGACCTGAGACTAGAACCACATAGTTGGCCACGTGGGATCCGGCCACTCTAACCACCACACTGGCCTGACACCGCAATATACACTGCTGTTTGGTAGTTCTGAGCGCCAAGTCAGCACACTCTGTAGGGTCCTGCCTGAGGCAGACCTGCCACACACAGTGCCCCCTCCAAAGCACCATCTCTCCAGCTCAGGATCACCAGGCAGGGCAATACTTCAGCACGGCTCCTGGGGCCAATACCAACAGCAAAGCCACCAGCAAAAGGCACAAACAATGTGTCAGACGTGGTACCAAGCAGATTACCAGAGGACTGAGCAGAGCAGAGAGCCTCAGCCGGGAAGGCGGTGGCGCCAGGCGGCCTGAGGATTCTGCTGCTGCGCATGTCCGCCATGGTTGCAAAGCGTCCCAAACGCTGGTGTGAAGCGAGCAGATGCACCAACTCACATCTGCACACTGGGGACTGACCGTATTTGCTGCCTCCTCACAGGAGGTGCCCGTGCAGTGCCCACGCCCTGCTGTGCAGCTGCTGAGAACCCACTCTTGGCCTTGGGCATCTTCCAACCCCAGCCATCTGGGGACCAAATTCTGGCCCTGCCTCCTTCTAGACAAGAGACCCTGGGCAATTGCAGGGGCTCACTGTACTGACCAGGAGAGGGCCAAGACGATGGTACCTCCTGAGGGCCCAGGGGCCCAGCCTGCCCAGGAAAACACCGGCCATGGCTGGGTAAAAGAACCTGCCATCTCCAACAGCCATGCCCGCTCCTCCTGCAGTAACAGCCATGGCCCTGGCCATTTCCAGCCGGACACATGGCTCAGCCCTGGAGGTGGCATTTCTGGCCTCCCTCACAGCCAGGCTGGGCACTGAGCAGGCCACGCAATGGGACGCGGTGCAGCCTCTGGTCACAGCCTGATAGGTGCTGGCCTCCACTCTGCACCCCGCTTCCTGTGGGCAGCAACACGGATGCGGCGAGGCCAGGACAAAGGGGAGCGAGGCACTGCCATACCCAAGGGCCAAGGCTATCTAGATTTGCTTCACGCTCAAAAATTTCTCACAGCAAACTTAGGCCAGAAGCCCACCAAGCACTGCACAGAGGAGCTACGTCTAAACAGCTAAGCAGTTCAGCGGCCCAGGCAGCACCTGGCAGCTTGCCCTGTGCTGACTTCAACATGGAAAACATCCCACAGACCATCCCTCGGCACATGCTTTGGGAACCGTAGCCTGAGCAACAAGGCCAAGCCTGGCCTGCAGAGTGAAGGTGCCCACTGCCTGCGAGGGCACTGAGCCAGCAGTCACGGCTACCCAGCACTCACGCTCCACAGGCCTTCCTTTACCCAGGGGCCACACCAGCCACCCCCGCGCAACGCTGTCCCGAGGCCCAGCAGCCGGCTCACCGGGTGATGCCGCGGTTGGTGGCCATGATGAGGACAGGCGCCATGTCGCTCTCCAGGGCCCGGTTGAGGAAGGAGAAGCTCTCGATGTCCAGCATGTGGACCTCGTCAATGAACAGCACCTGGAAGCGTCGGGCAGGTGTCCAGCCCACTGCACACCCTCCTCCCAGCAAGCCTCGCCCGGCCCACCCGGGTGCTCATCCAGCCCACTGCACACCCTCCTCCCAGCAAGCCTCGGCCGGGCCACCCGGGTGCTCATTCAGCCCACTGCACACCCTCCTCCCAGCAAGCCTCGGCTGGGCCACCCAGGTACTCACCCCCGGGATGATCTCCGCCTTGCCCTCCTCACGCCACTCGGCCACCTTGGCGTTGATCTGCTCACGGACCTCTGACTTGATTTCTCCTGTGTCGCCTGGCAGGGGGAGAGGTGACATCGGGGAGTCAGAGAAGAAGGGGGCCCAGGGCCCGAAGATGACAAAGACAGAAGATGGATGCCAGGGCCAGAGGGAGGAGACTAAGATGGCAAAGTGACGAGTGGCCTGGGGGGCTCAAACGTCCCTGGAGAGGAGTAACAGAGGCAGATCCGGGAGGTGCCTTGCCACCTCCCCTGGGAGAGTGGCTCAGACAGCGATGGGGGAGGGGCGGCCAAGCCAAGCACATGGACAAAGAACAGAGGCAGCAGGGAGGCCAGGGTGGGTGGGCCGTGCTGGGGAGGGGATGCACAGAACAACGGGAGCCTGGGGGGCAGCTGGGCTGGGGGGCCAGGGCCTCACCTGAGAAGAGAGCCAGGA